ATCCAAAATGATTCAGTAAGAACGTGGGACAATTGTACATGTACATGATTATGAAGTTTGGGTTATTTTGGATTTGCTCTATATCCTGGGTTTACGCGCTCTTGCTCTGAGTATTACAATCCTCACATTATTTCATAGAAATTTCAGAACACCCTGTATGTTACAGCCAATGCACAATTCCCAGATCCGCAAACACGTTAATGCAATAATAACCGACTACGCCTATTTGAATGTTTGACACTAATGTGATAGTCATCACGTGCTCAGCCATTCTCGACCCAACGTGGAAGCAATTAGCAGCTCGGGGATATAATTAACCGCCGCCAATTTGCAATTTATGAACCATTGTCGCGCGGTGCAACGAACGTGCGTTAGGTACAGTCGGACGAAAATATAGTCTACTAGTTTTGATTCAGATATACATGATGTATTCCTTACTAAAGTGGTCTACCAATTTTGATTGAATTTATCGTTTAAATAGGTCAATCATCGACTAAGTAGGTAGGTAATAAATTGATTAACATACGTATGCACACGCACAGCCATAGATGTCTATTTACTCGTTTCAACAAAAAGGCGCTCACTGCTGTACCAAAGTCCACAGCGGACGATTGTTTTTTTCAAAATTTCCACGCAATAGTTTAGTAAATGTATGCATTTTCCTAAACACAAAAAACGGAACAGTCATCCCAAAATGTAGAGATCAGATACTAAATAGATTTACTTATAGATTCATCAATGAAAGCAAATAACTGACATTATTTCTCTTTAATTCCTTATTCTTATTTTACGCTTGTAAGGCAGTATATTTTTATGCCTTTTACTCAACCAAGACTGTTTATTTTTATGTCTTGACGATTATGTTGCAAAATTAAATCTTGTCTATAAAGTTGTCCTGTGTTAATAAGACAAGTGGTTTCAAATAGAACACAATCAACATTAAAGATCCAATCAATGGAAAACCACGCGGAAGGTTTTAGTTAAAACAATAGACAAGTTATATAGCGTGACTCCGAACCAGAAGGTAAAAATGAAAACATTTCCGATCACACAAAACATCAAAACTTGGCTGCGAGTTGCACAATGGGACTTTAACGTAATAAGTACGTCAAAAATCTGTCAAAAAACATGGGTTTTTGTTTTAGTTACGGTTAAAGTAAGTTGATGCAACTCAGGCTTAAAATGCTCTAGTGTTCTAGTCTTTTTCTTTCGTTTAGTTAGTTATTAGTTCTATCTTTCAACGTTTATCACGCAGTAGAGTACCTATAGCTCCACAATGGGACGTGCCTATATGGGTTAACTTTAGCTTTTGCTATCTTACTCGTATAATGTTTTTCAGGGTAACTGTACTTAATTAATTATGCTACAATTTTAGTGAAAAGTAAAAAAACGAGACAAAACTATAGCAATACAAATAAGAAGCAGCAGACGTTTGATAATTTGTATGTATCATTTTCAGCACTTATTAATTTGTGTGTGATAAAATTATCTCTCTCTTCATTTTAAACTTTACAATTGAATCTATCATTGCACAAAATATAATCAAAATAAAGCCAGTGAGTACCTACTAGATAAAAGTGAGGGTGCGTGATATAATGACACGTAAAAAGCTCTACGTAATATACCTAGAGAAATCAAGTCTTGATATTGAAGGCTAATGGGGCAGTATTACATATTGAGTGATTGACTGATGTTGAGATGTAATAACTCTTCTCCTAAATACATAACGTAAGTAGGACTTACATGATTGATTTAAAGATGCAAGAAATCTTGCCATGAGTGCAAATTCAATTGATAGGTAAAAGATAAGCCCGTACTATTAAAAAACTCTCTGAATTATGTATGAATGATTTGACTTTTTCCATCTGAATGATAAAATGAATATTAACACTTTCAATATATGCGCAAAAACGTGAAGGTCACATTTTGTATGATAGCATCGATGCGTAAATAAAACTATAATTATTTTGAGTTTCATAACTTTCGGTCCGACTGTCCGGAGTTTAAATGGGTTAGGTCAAAAATGTATAAAATCCGCTAAACATTTTGTGCCAGCGATCTAATGTCATGAATTAAAATTCATGATTTATTTGGATTCATTACTCTCATTTGATTTACTTGAATAAAAACTTTTTATTTTTAGATCTTTTAATCTTTAAATAGACTCGACACGAAGAGAACGGTAAGTAGGTACAGGCTAACGATCGACATAAACAATCGATCTTAATTTAAATAAATTGAAACGCGAATGCACGAAATAACTATAAAGCAAGTAAATAAAATGCGAGCACAAGGAAATACTCCTTTCTAAGAACAGACGGCAGCGAACTGGAACGCACTGCTTGAAGGACGGTATTCACAAAGAATACTATCAAATGTATGAATTTATTTATATTATTATGGATGACTGAATGTTTTATTACTGAATTTTAAATACCTGCATAAGTTTTTGAAGCGCGTACTTAGTTCATTGCATCACTCACGCAAAGCGCGGCCCGAGTGTAGGCGGAGGTTTTAGCAGTCAAACTTTGTTAAACAGTAGTCAAATCCTCTACATTTTATTTAAATCCCTGATTTGATCCAATAGCACCTGACCTTAAAAATAGGGTACAGGTTTCATTTCAGTCTGAGGGTAAAGTAGAGATAAGAGAGATTAAAGTAGGTAATGGAAGCGGTAAGTAGGTTTCATGCTTATAAATTTAATTTTGATTAGACTGTGTGTGAATTTTCCGCTATTTTTCCGTTGCGTCCATTGTTAGAAATTATGTAGGTACTTTCTTTGCGCGCCTTTTAAAATTTTGACAAATGTGTAGTTGTAGATTTAAAGGGTACTTAATATTATGTACTGTTACGGTGTTGTGACAGTCACCGAGAGCTTTATGTGTCGTTACTGCGATATGTGCGTACGTATGAGTAATTTCGAACTACTTATTTGTTACCGGCAAAATGATTTCGATTTACCTACGCTGTTTGTAAGAGAATTAAATAATACTTTGCCTCAAATATGGTGTACAAATAAGAAGCCATCGTATTGCTTTTGTTTGTGATTTTTAATCATTCCTCACGCTCGTGACGATACACACTTGAACAAACAATTTTGAAGAATGCGAATATGTCAGTAATTAGACCGTATTGTTCGAAATCATGATGCAATTTTAGGTGCGTTTAATTTAATATCGGCTAAAGCTCAAGAAAATAACTATGGCGCAGTTTCCATCAAATCGGGAGGAGAGATGTTTTAAAAATAATAAATCGTATTATATCTTGTCTCTACATTGAAAACCAAGCCTTAGGAATTTTTAATAAGGCACCGGCAACCACTATGGATGCAGTAAAATGTGATATGTCCCCTAAGATAAACTATTTTGAATAAACGAACTATAGAAAACTATCGTGGGTTCAATTCCCGCCTTAGGCAGTTCGATTTTTTCAAGTTATTTATAATTTTCAAAATATAGAAAACTATTTTAAATAAACGAACTATAATTGAATAGGATGGAACTCTTATCATGCCTCCATATCTTTTGGGCTCTACAAGCTATACGTTACGAGACAACTATGGAATGTGCTGCTATGAAGGTGCTGCACCGGGGCAAACTCAGTAAATGCAATTAGTTGTCAGATAAGGGTTATACATTTAAGTAGACCATAGAAATATACCCTAATAGGTCCTCCAAATCAACTGTAATAACAATTTAAATGAAACTTTGGTCTATTTTAAAATATTTGCAACTCTACTAGATAAAATAGCTCATAGACCTTGTCTTTAAATAACTTCTGATATTTTTAATGTATTTCGTGAAGCCGAACGCAATTAGGATGCATTCCACCACTCACTTGTTTGTTATAATAACGTCGATCTCACTGAATAAATCAAAACTTTTTATGGTTTTATTACTTTGCTTAATTAATTTTTTCATAATAATATCTGTAGCGAAACGCGAAGCGTTAGTTAAAAGTATATTCGATGTTTCTTGAAACCAAAGTCATAAAGGCTTTTCAAAAACGAATAACATTTCGATGATTTGGTAATGTAAGATCAATAGTATTACGATTTTGACCTCTGTATTTTTAAGCACCATAAAAATCTCATTTACAGTTATTTATTTTTTGCAACCAAGCTTTTAAAAAGCACTTTTACAGAAAACTGTATGATAACGTGATGATTCAAAAATTGTCTAAATATGTATATAAATCAAAAACTACAAAATATTCTGATCGAAGTTAATAAGTAGCACAATTTTAACCTGTGAATATTTCGTTGTTGTTCTATAAAAAAATAGATTTTTCCTAATCTCTGTTGTTGAGATTCAAACAGCTGAAAGTCCATTAAAATTGCTGCCTCAGATAAAATACAAAACCATAGTGAACTTAACATACCATAACTAACTAGCTCGTTAAAAAGCAGATTAGTTAAAATGTAAATTAACCTAAATCGCAAGTTCATTATCAAACGGTTCGATTTTCGTTATGTTCGACCATGCGGAACCTCTTTAATAGAGTTCAAGCAGGTTGGCCAAACACGGTAGCGAATCTGAATTTGCCCACTTCAATGTTTGGCAAATATTTGTATTTCTGAACGTTACGAAAAACTTGATGAATTAGAGTTCCACTTTAAAATTGAAAACTTAGTGCTAGTGCAGTTTTTACGTTACGAATTGCTAATTAAGTATAACGTTATTAATAGTACTTAAGTAACAATTTAGACAGTAGTCAATACAGTTTAAGTAAAAGATAAAATGAGTAAAAGCGAATTAGTAACTAAGCAGTCCTGATCTTTTTCTTTCAGTTATTATAATTCATTTAATTTCAGGTTATATGTATCTAATAAATAAAATAGTGTAAATTTTAGCGTATATCTTCAATTACTAGTTTATATGTGTTTTTGGGTTATTAGTGCTTAACTTATAATTTACTAAATAAGTTAAAAGAAAGTCGTTTTCATTCAAAATATTTAGACATTTTACCTAATAAAATCACAAAATTAAATAATAACTTACATTTAGAAAGAATTAATTGCCAGCCGGTCAACATTTTCGCTGTTTATTTTTACAGTGCACCATAAACTTCACTTTGTCTTTACAAAACTCTACTTTCACGTAGGTATTTATAAACAAGTCTTTTAATTTAAATTGAGTAAATTAAAATAATATAAGTTCTGAGTTATCACAAGTTGCACTTAGCGTTCGTTAAAAGCATGCGCGGTGTTTGCGCGCGCATCTGTTATGCGCGCGGTCTCCGACTAGAGTTAGGCGCCCGCGCACAAGCTTCGCCTCTATATACCAGCGCGCTTACACCGCAAAGCGTCCACACCACTAAGGGTAAAAACTTACATTAAACCAAACAAAATTCTTAATCATTAATCAGTGCAAGCGCCATACCGATCCGACATTAATAAACTAGTCTGTTTATGTAACAAACGGTCAAGTTCACCGCACGGCCGAATTATGACATGCCACGCCAACTTGACCCCTACCATTCGCAGCTTACAGACTGTTATGCCGTGCAATAAATTGACGAATTGCGGGTAATGCAACATCGGATTTGATTCGTCTGACAGGCGGATATGCGACTGGCAAGCATTCTACTTTCGATGCTAGTATATAAATACGAGTCATGTCAGATTTAGTAACTGTTATGTCAACGCGCATAACGATTAATAAACAACAGATGCAAATTGGTAGGAAAGTAATGCACGCTCTAACGATACACAAACATTACTATGAGGTCTCACAGTGCTCGTGTTCGCACAGGGTCACATACGAATCAATCACAGGGCTCTATTCAACGCTTTCGATTTGCTGCTTCACTTAAGCAAGCATCGTTTGTGAATACGGGTGTAAATAGTTGTTCTATATTGTCATAATTGTTTTTTTTAATCAATTTAATAAATTGACCACGAAATTATTCTGCCAATTTCTTAATCTTCTTAGCAGTAATGAAATCCCCAAAATTAATATCGCCATTGCATTGTTGCATTATAGTATTGGTTGTAAAAATTGGTTTTAGGTTGTGTATTTCAATATGGGATGTCAAAACTTTATGCCAAAAATAGAGAACCTTGAAAATAATGTAGAGTTCGATAAAGTGCGAAAGAAAGTTTAAAATACCTAAATATTATGTGTTAAAGTATGAAAGTGCCGATTTGTATAGAGAATTTAACCGAATTTATGGACATTGTTATTGTAATAAAGCAATTTAATACTTTACCCAATATTAATTGAAACAACAAAATTAATTGTTGTTTTAAATCTTGAATTTGGAACGTCATATCAACGTCACATCTAAGGTGGATTGGCATGTCGAATTGCATTTTTGAATGCATGTAATCACAAATGAGGGCACTAATTAGTTTTCTAGTTGTTGCTAGCGTATTTGCTATGCGCGCACGTGTTTTTGTTGAATAAACATTTTAAGGCGCAGATGGCGGGTGGAGAGAAACCCGCGAGTAGAGTGGCCAATTCTTATACTAAAAATAGGACAGTTGAATGAGCGATATAAAACGATATTATAAAGCAATATGTGAACTACATCCTAGACAGGATCTCATTTAACATCGGGTGCGATTGCGGTCAAACCTGCCTAGTTGCACAGCTCCGATTTGAAAATTAGCTGAGAGTGAAGCAGACATTATAACGTTTAGTAGAAAAAGTTTTAAACTGTAACTTGTAAACAATTAATTATTTATCTCAAACCGATACTTACATTGAGAGCTTTGTCAAGTATGCCTTGTGTAGAGCATGTAGTATGTAAACATCTCCCATCAAAGATTATTGTCTTGATTTTTTTGTTATTGACGAGTACTTTGACAGATAGGAGGTTCAATCAAATAAACACACTATTAATTTTATATTTATTTTTTACACCATACTATGTCCATTAAAATTACATAAATCTATCCAATAGTTGTCAATATATAATTTGGTACTAGCTTAAGTATCATTTGCTTAGCAAAAGCTTAGCTTTGTCCGACATTTTCAAAACGCATGGTCACCCTTACCAAGAGGGCCACACAGTGGCTCGCGGAAACTTCCACTAGCTTACGAGGTACAGGTAATTGCGAAGCTACATATCTTGGTCTACGCCGCCATTGGTCCCACCCGTAGAAATCGATTTCCCATTCTTACAATGTCAATTCCATAAATATTCAGCTACAGATATCGTAGTCGATAAATGTTTAAGGGTTGTCACGTAGAGTATCAATCGAATCTGAATGCATAATTTATTTTGGAATCAACCCCCTTTAATACGTTTAAACTGTGAAAATATATCATACTATTTTTTTTTGTTAAGAACTAGATTAAAATGTTCACAGATAGAGCTATAGTAAACCACTCTTTGATCGATTCCCTTGGATTTTAGTCAGAAAAAAACAGAGGTGATTATAACAATTTTATGATATCCTTAACTCTTCATTTCTTTTCGCAATATTTCCGATATTGATTCTTTGTAATTTCCTTTTAAATAATTTCAACTGAATTTAGTTCAGTACATGACAAATTCAACAATGTGTTTTAATGTGGAACCTTTACATGGACACTAAAGTAACAATACCTGTAAATACATTTTTGTTCTCTTTATTCAGGTAAGCATATTTTTTTTAAGTAGAATTAACAAAGGACATGCTGTTGATCTGATAGCCGTGTGGTGACGGCAGAGTAGAATACATTTGTCACCAACCCCTACTCTTCCCGCGGGTGTCGTAAGAGGCGACTTAGGGACTACACATCAAACAGAGAATGGGCAGCAGCGCTCTCTGAAAAACATCAATCTTTTAAACTGCGATCTCCAACCCGCCTGCCAAGCGTGGAGATTATGGCAAAACCCTCCACTATAGTGGAGGAGGCTCATAGTCCAGCAGTGGACTGTAAAGGGCTGTTGATGATGCTGTTGATCTGACCCGGTGCACATAAGAGAGGTTTGATATTTTGGCGCGTATTCACAAACGATGCTTGCTTTAAGTGAAGCAGGAAATGGAACGCACAGCGTTGAATAGAGCTTTGTGATTGGTTCGTGTGTCACCCTGTGCCTTCACGCGCACTGTGAGACGTTAATCACAATGCCCCCTTGTGACATTTTTCTCTACCATGTGGATGGTAATAAGAATAACTGAAGTCACAAAAATTGTGTCAAGCTCTACGAACCGCCCATAGGGCCGACTTAACGTGCTTAACGTGGAATTTTATTTCTTTTCGGACAACCAACCCTGAGAAAACAAGTGTAACTTAGAGTGAATAGGCACTTGCCGGTATGTGCTATGTTACCATCCTAGACTGCATCTCACTTAACATCAGGTCATCAGGGGTGATTGCAGTCAAATATCTACTTTCGGAACAAATACACAATGTTATTTCACACAAAGTTTTGTCCCGCCTGAAAATCAAATCCAGAACCCACGAGTCTAAAGAGCGATTCATATCACTATTTCTTAAACAAATAACAAAAGTGTGGATCATGATCTGCACACGTAATGAGCCAACTTGAAAATATCTTGACACTTGCAAATCATACATGTTAGAAGTATTTTGTCAACCCTTCTTTGGAAAATTGGTCTTTGGTAAACAAAACTGAGGAAAATGATTCTATAAATAGAACACCAATTTAAACACATTGTTTATAAGTTTAATAAACGGTTCTTCCATGCTAAAACATGGAAACACACAACGAAATACCCGAAGTTATTTGTCTCTACAATTAATGCTCACCGCAAAAAGCTCTAAAACTTTTATTTTTTACCTTCACGCTTGTTATTTGCTAATCAACTACATTTATTTATTTACTATAACTTAGGTACTTAGATAAAACATACATACATTTCGTAGAAAGATCTCTTAACTCAATAATAATACTTAACCACATTGGAATTTACGCGCCATTCGTCAATAATATTTGAATTGTTATCTTAAATCATCATCATCATCATGACAGTCTACGGCGGTCTATGTCCGGCGTAATCCCCAAACTCCAATCCCGTTTTTTTCATCCAACTATTACTGACAGCGATTGTTCTTGAGGTCATCGGTCCATCGAGTCTTAAGTTACATTTGGCTAGATGTGATCAATCTAGATCCAGTTTGCTCTACATACCCGTTTATCTCTACCTTTTTCTTCGATAGATACGGTTTTTATACTTTTTATCTACAAAGTTCTAACGCAACGGTTCGTTAAATTATGTTACGTACTTATTCTTATTGCTTTAACCTTCCTTGGTGAAATCTTCAAGACATAGATTTATGTACAACAAAATATGCAAATGTTAATAAGTCTTAACACGGCAATCAGCAGTACACCTGTACGATAAACGTATGTTTTCCTAAAGTATTGTTTTCCTTAACGGGCTATATTTATTGACATCTTCCGGAGACCGACGGTTTTGCATACCATTTCTAAAACGACAGTCCACTGATGAGTCAACCAAACGTATTGCAGCCAGGGTCAAAGCAACCTTGTGTTGACTGCAGAAAGGAAATCGGCAGACAATCAGTACCTACCCAACATTGTTGTGAAACTAACTCGTTGCAAAATGTGTATAATCGCCACAATTCAATTGTGCACAAAAGCTTATAAATCGGTCAACGTAGACATGTCAGGTGCGACATTTTCTCCGTGATTAATGCTCTGAAATAAAATGCGCAAGTTTGGTATTAAAAGTAATATGATCGAAATAACATTGAAGCGATAGCAAACTCTTAATGTACTGAATATCAGCAAATAGAACATTATGTTATCTGTAGCAGAAGTTCCTTTCACCAGTAATGATTTTATGCACTTCTTAGGCCCAGTTTTTTGATTCATAGTTAAAATAACAGATTGTTAAATTTTGCTACTAATGGTTAAATATTAACAAAATGTTAACTAATAGTTAAAAAATGTACTAAAAGCCAAGCTAACCCTTGTTCGAAAAACATTTTTTTCTGATATTTAACCACTTGTCATTTGACATCTGTCAAATTTAACTATTGGTTATTTTAACTACGAATCAAAAAACCGGGCCTTAGTGACCTATGCACGGTATTAGATTAGTGGAGTCTCAATATAAAACACACTATAAAAAAAAAATTCGTTATTGAGATTAATTCGAGGTAGAGCTTTGTCTTATTTATAATACAGGCCATATTATTCATCATAACCATGTTTATTTGATGAAAAGTAAATGTGGTTGTAATATATCCAACGTAATAATTAAGTGTGATTAAGACCAAATAAGCACACTTTAATGATATTAAACATATTTTAGTTAAACACGCAAACTATTTAACTGTCACATCTAGCGGCATTCCGCCAGTGCATGTCACCACATTAGGGTCGTGTCGTATCGTGCATCAGAACTAGTTCTTAA